CTAAGTTAGGATGGAGGGAGAACAGAAGCCAGAAGATTTCAGGGGATTGTTCGTTGTTAGGCATAAAGGCAGAGACAAAAGAGCACTTGGTCTGACTTATTCTGGGCTTTTCTTGTAAAATAGCCAAATTAGCCCCTGGGCCTGATGGGAGTTACCCAGGATTCAGTGAGGGTGGACATGACTTCTGTGGTGTTTATGGATGAAATCTAAGGCCAGGATTTGGCTCCATATCACTTGAAACAAACATTTAATGAGTAGAAAGCTCAACTTCCTCAGAAGGATTACCCATTCAGCTTTTTACTTCATTGTCCTATCGTTTGCTAAAGGTCCTGAGACAACACAGATGTCTGCATAAAAAGGACAATGGGTATTATCAAACTTCCACTGAGGACACTATGTATATGTTTTCCTCAAAGCACCTGGGTACTTAATGCTGTGGAAAACGGCTCCTTCTTGTCAAGGTCAAAATTTAAGGGGAGTCATACAGAGAAGATTCCTGTGTGAATGAAAGGCTTGGGAAATATTCTTCCCCATCACCAAAGCCAATGTCTAACCTTAATAAATGCAACAAGACATCCAGCGTCCTCACACTTTCCTAGGGATGCCTACAGCACATGCAAATTTCTCTGTGGTCCTCAGGAAGTTTCCAGTATCTGTAAGGACTTCAGCACAGTTTATAAATATTGACAAGTTTTCTATGAAAATGGGGGACTTTCTCTGGAAAAGATTTTACCCAGCAGTGACCAGCTGCCCCCACCTTAGTAGAAAATAGTGGATAGTTGGGCAGAGAGCTGCTGAAACCCTCAGAAAATGATGACTGAATGTAAACTCTGCAATGCATACATGCAGGTATTTGGGGGAGAAAAGCAAGCTAGTCACCTTTTTTTTTTTAAGATTTTATCAAACTTTGTCTTGCCAGGTCTTACTCAGGAGAGAGTTTCCTTCTCTCATCTTCTGTGCTATTGTCAAACTTTGTATCTGTGTTTTTTTTTTTTTAAAGATTTTATTTATTTATTTGACAGAGATCACAAGTAGGCAGAGAGGCAGGCAGAGAGAGAGGGGGAAGCAGGCTCCCTGTTGAGCAGAGAGCCCAACGCAGGGCTCGATCCCAGGACCCTAGGATCATAACCTGAGCTGAAGGCAGAGGCTTTAACCCACTGAGCCACCCAGGCACCCCAGTCATCTCTTTAATGAAGACCAGCTTACTGACACTGATTTTGGGTGATTCTGCACCAAGTTTGCAAAATGGAGCAAAATCTGAGTGGTTCTAAGAGGTGGGCACCTGTTCTTGGAAATACCGAGGATTTCTTCATATTTAGAACTTTCATTTTAATCCAAATGAGCTTATTCCTATTGGAAAATGGGCAGGGACACTACATTGTCTATTTTAGAGAAAAGAAAGAGAAAGGTTGGGGTGCCCGGGTGGCTCAGTTGGTTGAGCATCCTCTTGGTTTTGGCTAAGTCATGAGCTTAAGGGTTGTGAGATGGAGCCCCATGTTGGACTCTGTGCTTGGTGCAGAGTCTGCTTGGGATTCTCTCTCTCCCTCTCATTCCACCTCTCCCTGCTTGCACATGTGCTTTCTCACTTTCTCTCTTGCTCTAAAATAAATAAATAAATCTTTTTAAAAAGTCAAAGAAAGGTCTATTTAAGATATTACAACTCATGGAGAGCCAGAGCTGGCATGATTCTGTAGTTTAGGAAAATACACCTACCCTGGCGAAAGGAACCCCTTATTTAACTAAGACACCCCACAAACAGATGATGACAGTATTAAGGGTTTAATAATGTTTGCACAAGGGTCTCTTCCAGAAAAATGACATTTTAACCTCTTGTTTAAAATTCCAGCCCTTTATTTCCTCAGAAATTGTTCTCTTGTCTCTATATTAGGAAAGTTTGCTGCACATGCAACTCCTTGTCCCCCAGAATCCTAGATTCCTGAGGATTTATATCTCAGGACTCTCAGAAGTACACGACCTGATCATGAAATGGAGCTGAGCTGAAAGTATGTTACTGTGTTCTGAAATGCTCCTTCTTTTCACTTATGAAGAATACTAAGATGTTACTATAAGAAAAGCAATGTAGGGGGTGCCTGGGTGGCTCAGTGGGTTAAAGCCTCTGCCTTTGGCTCAGGTCATGATCCCAGGGTCCTGGGATCGAGCCCTGCATCGGGCTCTCTGCTCTGTGGGGAGCCTGCTTCCCTCCTCTCTCTCTGCCTGCCTCTCTGCCTACTTGTGATCTCTGTCAAATAAATAAATAAATAACCTAAAAAAAAAAAAAAGGCAATGTAGTTTGGAAGGTGAGAGGTCCTTCAGTAGATAAAGAGTGCATTCCAGCTCTACCCATCTTGGGCAAGTTCACTAACTTCTTAGCATCCAGGTGTTATATTTTTGTAAAACAAGGTAATGCCATCAGCTACTTAGGGAGGTGATATCAATCAATAACAGTTATATATTTTTTATTGACCACATATAATGCAAAACGCTTTCTGAGTTTTTTAAATAATCATCTCCTTTAATGCTCACAATGTCTCATTGAGTTGGGTGCTATTATGTTCATTTTATACCGGTGAGGAAAGTGAGGCTTTGAAATATCACATTCATCCTTAAGCCAGAATTCAAACACGGGCCCCCTGACTTCAGGGGGAAGCTATGGATTACTACATCAACAGTGTGAGTGAACTGATAACATAAATATAATATGTTTCGCATAGTTAGTGACATATAACTGAGGTTCACTAGAAGTTTTGGTACAATTAACATTAACTAGTGTTTATCAGCAGTGAAACTCTTTGAGGCCAGACACCGAGACTCACTTATTTTTGTAATCTCAGATTCTAGTACAGAATGCAGATGTGCTCTGTGGAGACTTGTTAGGTTAAGAACGAACACGGATTCCACTTGGAATCATTTGCAGTAAAGAGCAGCACTGCCTGAAGCCACTTTCAGCTGGTCTAAGCAAAACCGTATCTAGAACAGACACTGAGTTCCCTTCGCCCTCATATTCCCTGTTAGAAAGGCCTCATAAGCCTGTTAAATCACAGCAATAAAGAATACAAAGAATCTGTGTTGTATTTTGTCTATAACATACAGTATTTATCAAGAAATAACCTCCTTCACAAATGGTGCAGAAGACACAAAGAAAATGAAGGACTGCCCTCTCTCTTTAACCCAGTCAAAACAAGAAGTTGTAAAGACTTGGAAAAACTGTCAGGTATTTGGTTTGGGGGCAATCAGAGGTAAATGAAATTAAGTCCTAATTGTTTGTGTCTTTAAATTTCTAACTCAATGTCAATTAATGAAATTAAAATCTATTGATATTTATATTAATTTAAAAATAAAATTTAAAGTTAAAATTCCTATCCAAAGGATAAAAAAATGCAGACTCAAAGGGGTACATGCACTCTGACGTTTACAGCAGCACTGTCAACAAGAGCCAAATTATGGAAAGAGCCCAAATGTCCACTGACTGATAAATGGATAAAGAAAATGTGGCGCGCGCACACACACACACACACACACACACACACACACACACACATTACTCAGCCAGCAACAAGAATGAAATCTTGCCAGTTGCAATGACATGCATGGAGGTACAGTATACTATGCAAAGTGAAACAGGCCAGTCAAAGAAAGAGAAATACCATATGATTTCACTCATATGTGGAATTTAGGAAACAAAAGAAATTAACATAAGGAAGAGGGTGGGAAGCAAACCGTAAGAGACTGTTAACAACAGAGAACAAACTGAGTGTTGCTGGAGGGGAAGTGGGCAAGGGGATGGGCTAAATGGGTGATGGGCATTAAAGAGGCCACTTCTTGTGATAAGCATTGGGTGTTATACATAAGTGATGAATCACTGAATTCTACTCTTAAAAACCAATATTACAGGATATGTTAACTAACTAGAATTTAAATAAAAATATGAAACAGGGTGCCTGGGTGGCTCAGTGGGTTAAGCCGCTGTCTTCGGCTCAGGTCATGATCTCAGGGTCCTGGGATCGAATCCCACATCGGGCTCTCTGCTCAGCAGGGAGCCTGCTTCCCTCTCTCTCTCTGCCTGCCTCTGTCTACTTGTGATCTCTGTCTGTCAGGTGAATAAATAAAATCTTTAAAAAAAAAATATGAAACAAAAATAAAATTCAAAAAAGAAAACTCCTAATTCAATATTAATAAATAAAAATAATAATTTCATTATAATATTTTGGTTTAGGATATTGCCTTCTACAAAATTTCATTCTTACATGACATTCATGATACTACTTAACTTTAGAAAGTTTACTAATATCCCTATTTTAAAAATGTTAAGCCTCGGTACAAAAAAGCTTCATATCTTGCTCAAGGTTACACAATGAATGAATGGCAGAACCACTCAGGGGACATTCCCAGGTATCTGAAAAGAAATGTGGCCTTGAACACTGACATCTGAATAAGACAAGAGAACAGACAAGCTTCAGCCCAGTTCAAATATTCAGAGATAAGTGGCACTGTGTAATCACATATGGCTGAATACCCTTTATAATTTTTAACCATTTTCTTTCTCAAGGACATATTTTCTTGAGATTTTACTATTTTTTTAATTAAAAGAAGAAAGGAAGAGAGACAGAAAGAAGAAGATAGAAATTAATTACACTCTTGCTACTTAACATAATAATTTTATGCAATCCACATACTTCTAAAAAACTACGACAATTATGTGTAATGAAACATAGATATTGGGGTAAATGACGGCTGCTGAAATCCTCAATATACTCCAGCCAATGCTTCACATCTAATGGTCAAACTTCCAGCTGCAGATAAGCCGCTCTACACCAGAGTGAACATGCGCCAGTTCGAGCTCACCCACACCTCTCTGCGGCTGTTATGAAAGCTGAGGTAATAAACACCTTGGCTACACAAGGACCGAATTGTGACACAAGCAAAGAACCGTCCCTCTGGAACTATCCATGTTGGTGACAGAAGGCAGGTCTCGTAAAGTGGAAATCATGAGCAATAATTACCTAGGCATGTAAAGGACTCTCTCGGCCACCACAAAACCCACCCTGAAGAAGAGATTGCTGGCTGGAATGAACGGGAAAACCAGGAACAACAAGCCCACTAAAACTTCCTTGTGCTCCAGTCTCTGAAACACACAACAGTGAAGGACAAATTAATTTTTAAAAACTTTCACTTCAATTGGTATTTAACCATCTCTTTCATTCTCAAGTTCTCATTGATGGAATGAATAAATTAGACCAATGCAAACGCTTTGATCAGTGAGCTGAATTCATCAGAGAAAGCCCTTGGGCTGAAACCCCTGGCAAGTCACACGTTCGCCACCCAGAAACCTCTGATAATTGCACATGAGCAGTGACCATTACTCCTTGTTTTGGGCCAGTCCTACAGCAACCCTACTTCTTGGCTCTGGTCCCTTTCAGAATCTCTGTCCGAGAGCAAAGCAGCTTAATAGAATCAAGCTCACTAAGGCATCATAGAGAATTACTGTCCTCTCAGAAATAGAATGCATTAAGAAGAAAAAAAAAAAAAAAACCCATAACAAACCCACACAAAGCTCACCAGGAGCTTAGCATAAGGCTTGGCATAAAAGAAATTAAATGCAAATAGTAAAATTCAGAGAACCAATGAGAGAGATCATTAAAGCTGAGAAATTTTTAGCTCAAATTAAGCCAGTATTTTTTCCATGAAATTTTTTGGCATCAAAGTCATTACAATAATTCATTAAATTGACAAAGCACCTTTCTCTAATATTATATATTTTCTGTAGATCTAAATTTGTCAAGACTTTTCTGTCATTTCTCATTAACAGAAAAAATTTATTACTAATAATTCGCTATAATGGACACTGTAAACGTTAGTTTGTATTTCCATGACTGTCGATGATATGGACACATTTGAAGACAGGCCTATTTAAAACACACCTTAATATATAGGATGACATTATTCCTTCTTTTTAAAACAGTTTAAGAAAACCAAATAGAACTTTGCATATTACAGTTATAAATACTTCTTACAAACATTTAAAAGTGTATTACTTTTAATAATTGTATAAGACTAAATAAAAGTTTTAAAAATATAAATAAAACTTCTTAATACCAGCTACTAATGCTTTAAGTGGACAAAGTAAAAGATTTTTAACATCTTGAGGAATTTGTCACCTGGATTTTATTAAAATATTGGTTTTGCTGACTATAATGTATAGAGTAATAAAATTCCAGAGAGCAGTTCCACATGAATAAATGTGATTTGGACAACTTCCCTTAAATAATTAATGGTTCTATAAGTTATGATCTCATTTTTTTACCTAAAGAAACCATACTCTTTAGAATTAAAAGATGAAAGGGGAAAAAAGGCTTTCATAACAAGCCTTCAACTGAAATGAATGCAACTGGATGATGTTATATTTTCTCTGACCCACTAAAATTGAGAAAAAAAAAATAGGTGAGAAAAGTAGCAAGTTCATTATATTTAAAAGCTGCAACCTATTTTTTTAATTTAGATTATACTTTGAATTTACAAAATACATTTTATCTCAAGAACTTAAAGTTTACATAATTTAAAGAAGAATAACACCTTCATAAGAATCCTGTGACTCAAGAGCAAGTATTTCTTTGCTAAAACTGAAAATGAATCCCAGAGAATGAGTGTCTCTCCCAGTGTTCCTCATGAACTCTCGGCCTATCACTGAGTAGGGGGTTGATGTCCTATTTCTGTCGATGCACTTTTATTTTTTAGCTATAGTTGACTCCTTCTTTGAAGCCTATCAAAACGTGAAATATTTTTTACAAAAGAATTCGCATATTGTCCCACAGAAATTTCTGAAGAGAACTTAATATGTTCTACTTATTAATCCTATAGAATTAAGAAGAATATAAACAGAACTCAAACCCGGTCATTAGCCATGTCCCTGGATAGTGTCACATCCATTGAGCCACCTCTCCGGCTGTCCTCAAGGTTAGGAAAGAACAGTCCTCACGGAGGAGCTGAAGGAGACATCACTTCCATACCCACAATCTCACACTTTCTTTCCTGAGCAAAGGCTACCTTCCTCACTCTGGTGGCCAGGGGTTTATGTCCTTTACTCAGCAGAATCCCCAGTGCTTTCAGGAGCCCCTAGGTTGGGAGGAGGCAGGTGTCCTGACATGTAGGCACCCAACTCCGTGCCTGCCCCCTCTCCCTCCCTCTCCCAACCCTGCAGGGGGCAGGACCCCCGCGGATCTCCCCGCTGCTGGGGACAGGGAGTGACAGTCAAGGAGCCCCCAGCCTCCCCCAGAAGACTGACCTGCAAACCGAAAACTCACTACACCATGTGTTCCTTGTTCCTCCACCTGGCTCTTCAGGCTCCAAGAGCATCTTTATTTCCTTCATGGCCATCATCCCAATTGTAATCACACATTTATCTGTGTGTTTCCATCTTTATAAAATGTCTGTCTTCCCCCAGGAGACTGGGAGCCAGGAGGGCAGGGAGCTGGTCAGCTGTGTTCACTGGTACATGATCTGTGCTTAGTTCAGTGCCTGGCATTTAATGGGTGCTTGGAAATACTTGTAGAATAAATCAGTAAGTGAATAAATGTACCCAGCAAAGGAGAAAACTGGATGTAAGAAGGAGAGAAGTTAAGGAGGACATCCTGGTGGAGGTGATGATCTGAGTTTGAAAAAAATTAATGAATGCATAGGAGGCAGACAAATTTGGTTGTGGTTGGGAAAGGAGGGCAGGTCATTGGCAGAGGAGGGGCTGGTCCTAAGGGGAGCTTTTTGTTCAACTCAGTCAAAGACAGTGGCACAGCACCCAAACTCAATGAAGTTTTACTATTCTGTTTCGTCTTGAGAAAAATAATATTCATGACAAATTCTTTATTCTTAAATTGATGATCATACCCTTTGTCTTCCCTCCTCCCTCTTCAGTCAAGAGAGAGAGAGAATAATCAGAAATGTATTACTCTAAATGGTAAGTCAATCAATCAAACAGAAAGTTGTAAAGTTAGGGGAAAATGTCATGGACATGGCTGAATTTCCTAGAATGAGAAAGAGTGGGAGGGAATCCAATTTCGCATGTTGTGGATCACAGATGTGACAGAATTGGCTAAATAATTTAAAGCTTATTTCAGCCTAACAGAAACTCAAACAAAATATGAGTTGGGGGAGGGAAAGAAAATTTGTGACTTTCCAAAGTACCCAGAGTGCATTCAATTTCTAGGAATAGAGGCAAATGGAAATTTACTTATTCAAATTACAGTAGGGGGTAAAAAGACAGGAGTATTAAAAGAGCTACTCATATGGCTATTAATAATGTGCATTATTTGATTAACTGTGCAACTTCAGAGTTAATTTATTTCTTTGAGCTTTAACCTGATGATCAGTAAAACAAACGAAAGGATATTGATACCTATTGTGTCTGTAGGAAAATGTGTGACAAATTCAGGATGACAGATGGTAGGTCTGATTCTTTCCTGGCTTGGGATGAAGTAGAGAAGCATGACCCTCAGCTGCAAGGAGATAAAGAGCTCTCCACACGTGCCGGAGGGTTTTGTTCAGCTGCTGTCTCCACAACACTTCTCCCATCAAGCAGCTTAAGTAGGTGAAGAGCAGTGGTTTTCTCAGGACTGTGAGGGACCTCAGAGGAAACATTACTCCAGAATCCAAGTCTAGCCTGGCAGCTTCTGGTTTCTTTCTTCCCCTTTGCCCTACTCTCAGATGACTTTTCAAAGCACAGGTCACAGATAAGAGGACACACGCACGCAAGCAGGCACACAGGCGCACTGTGGCCAGCCGGGCATGGGTGTGTGCTCAGGAGAAGAGGACCCCTCCCTGCCCCATTCAAAACAGACAACAATCCACTGCTCACCGTTCCCTTCCAGAAAGGCAGAGAATGGACCTCATTATGGTAATTTTTTCAAAGATTTTCTTCTTAATTTTTAAATTATTTCTATACCCAATGTGGAGCTCGAACTTACAACCCCGAGATCAAGAGTCCCATGCCCTATCAACTAAGCCAGCCAGGTGCCCCCTCATTATAGTAATTACTATCATTGTTAATATATTTTCTCCCACCTCTACAGGTTTCAGGAAAATGGTACAGGGAATGTAGGGTGCGAGTATGTTCTCAGAATTCTAGATATAACACAGCTGTATTTCAATTCTAAAGATTTATTTGGCAGCGCTGGGCTCTCACTGTCTGCATCTAATTTATCAATCTTCTGAGAAGGTGATGACAGTAGAGCTCCCCTCTTCAGCCCAGGAGACAGGCGTTTGCCAAGGTGACAACGGGCATGGCTGCCAGTACGTACCAGACCCCCCTTTTTCTTTCTGTTTAAGGGTCTATTCCTTCCATTACACTACAAATTCCTTGATGACAGTCACCATCTCATTTAAACTTGTTACCTGGATATGTGGCACCCACAGAATTGGCATTCAACTCGTATGAGCTGCAACAGTAAAGCTCAGTGATGAAAGCTGCATACACATTACCAGGGTTCTCTAGAAGAGCCTTTTCAGGGACTTCCTGTCAAGGAAATCTTTTACTTTTGGTAACCCTTTGAAACATGGTATTTGCAGCATTAATTTGGGGTGAAATGTCCTCAGTCTCTGAGCATCTAAGAGCATTCCGTAAGGGTCTGGCAGACTGACTGACGGTACTGAGTTGTTTTTTTTTTTTTTAAAGATTTTTTATAATTTATTTATTAGAGAGAGAAAGAGAAAGAGCACAAGCATGGGGAGCAACAGTCAGAGGGAGAGGGAGAAGCAGGCTCCCCACTGAACAGAGAGCCTGAAACAGGGCTCTATCCCGGGACCCCAGGATCATGACCTGAGCCAAAGGCAAATGCTTAACTGACTGAGCCACCCAGGTGCCCCAGTACTGAGGTATTTTAATCAAGACATACCCACACCTTCTGCACCACTCTGATTCCATTCACTGCTACTTATGACTCTTCCGTCTTGCCCCATCCTTTGGTTTGTGTGCTCAGGAAAAGTAACATCTTTTACTTTATTGACATTCAATTTTAATTTTTAAAATAATTTATTAAGATTTCTATCACATTACCACTATTGTCATTGTGAAAGTTCTTTTTAATTGAAGACAAGTTATTTGATCATCTGGAATCCCTTGTGACTATAAGTACTTCC